AAAAAGTTATGATATTTATGAGTTACTTACCAAGCACATCTATTGTAATTATATTAAATATTATAATATTAAATATTACATTAAAGTAACCAAAATAACTTTACAATCCCTGAAGTATGTCAATTTTAAGCACCCCTAATGTTTGGAAATTGAAAGTTGAAAAATTGAACACGCCCTAATGGTGGATGCTTACCCTAAAGTCCTTCATAGATGATGCTAACTGTAGCAGGAATTCTTCTTCCTCCTTCCCATTGCTCCAGTTGCCGAATACACAAAAGTCCTGGCAGTAAAGTTAAGATATTTATGCCCATTGCTTTGTGTCGGCTGTTTGCCAAGTTGCATGAATTATTTATTCCGCTGCTGTATCGGCACTTGGTTAATGCCCTGCAGGATACATTAGAAAATTGCCAGTGTCCCAGTATCTCGAAAACNTCTTTCCCCCCCTCCCATTCACTTCAATGTAATATTTTAGCTATTCCCAATACTACCTTCTCTGATTCTTTAGGTTTACCCTATTTTGGAAAATGACAATTAATACATAGGAAGAAAAAGGCCCTCCCCACCCCACCAGTGTTTGGAGTATTGTTTCTTGTTTCAGGAAACATGAGAAGACAGCAGCTGCCTGTTGTGTTTTCTAGCCCACTTCTTAAATTCCCTTCAGGTAGTTTCTCACATGTTGATTATGTTATTGAATGAGCTGCGTGAATGCCACTTGACTACACAACTGATTATTTTGGGGTTGTAGTCTGTAGTTGGAGTACTGTGATTGTTTTTGACTTCTGGGGCCAGAAGAATCTACTGCCCTATATTTCCCATTCCAAGTTGGCACCAATTTGTCCAGTATTAGTGACTTTTAATTTTTACTCACTTCCTATTCTTAATTTTGACTTGGAGGTTTCCTGGATTTGTGGCTTCTACCTAAGGAGTGGATAACACAGCAAAGCTAAGGAGATTTTACTTACAGGCATTTTGTGTGCTGGTTACACCCATTGCTGAACCAGGAGATATTACGCAGTACAGTAGTCATGCCCTGGTCACTTCCTAGCTGGATTTGTGTGATTTCCTCTGTAGGGATTCTTGAGGTCCAACTGGAAATCAAATGCAGCAACTGGAGGTAGTTTTGGGGCATCTATATTTTGCCCATATTACATTGCTGTGTATGAGCTTCTTTGAGTTCCAGGGGTTTTGTTGGGAGAGGTACATTCAAGGTGGTGGCTATTACCTTTGAAGCCATGCATAGCATGGGTCCAGGTTACGTGGGAGGCTGTCTCTCCTTGAGTGTACCTGTCCATCACATCCAGCTACAGGTAGTTCTCGACTTACAACAGTTTATTTAGTGACCGTTCAAAGTTACAACAGCATTGAAAAAAGTGACTTATGACTGTTTTTCAGTTATAACTTTGGCAGCATTCCCATGATCATGTGATCAAAATTCAGATGCTTGGCAACTGGTTCATACTTATGACCGTTGCAGTGTTCCGGGGTCATATGATTTCCTTCTGACAAGCAAAGTCAGTGGGGAAGCCAGACTCGCCTAACAGCCAGGTTACTAACTTATCAACTGCAGTGATTCACATTGTTAAATGCTGTTCATCTAATGGAACCTAGGCCCCCAGAGTTTCAGCAGGCATCCAGCTGATTATCTCTAAGTGATAGTGTTGTATCTTTTGATTTATGATGAATGTATTTTTATGATGACTATGATTTATCACTTATAGCTTTTATGTACACCGAGAGCTTCTGCAGTGAAGACAAATTCCTTGGGTGTCCAATCACACTTGGCCAATAAAAAATTCTGTTCTATTCTGTTCTGTTCTGTTCTTTCTTGCCTTATGGAAGGGCGTGAAAACCTGAATTTTCCACAGATATTGGGGTAGGATGAGGCTGGAGCCTAACAAGAGGGTATATTGCTGTGTGGGAGAGTGTTGCCTTAAGATGCCATGTGTTTTTATTGCAATTAATTGGCTTTTTTCCCTGTTTTTGTATGTGGTTCCTATATGAGTGGTTTTATTAGTCTTTTAAATAAATAAAAATAAAAAGTAACTACACTATATTGACACAATAGAAAAGAATTTGGTTATTATGAAGGTTTGTTTGTTCGATTGAGACCAGCACCATACAAAAAGTTTTCTTTTTATAATAAATCCTATTAAATACTAAGCACAGATAGGGAGTTGAATGATACAACAAGTTGTGGTTAACTAGAACTGGAAATGAAAGTGTTCAAATTTGTGGCTGTGATATAGAAAGAGAGGGAGAAACAGGAGGTAGCAAAGAGGTACATACATTGTTACTAAGTGTTAACTAATATCTTCATGTATTAAATAACATATTTCTCAGAGTCAGCTACAGGTATATGTGCAAAATACAAAGTGCTGTTTATTGCACTTGTTTATTTTGTAGATTGCTCTAAGCCCCTTTAAGAGGAAGAGTGATAGTAATACTTCTTATCTCAGTGAACAGATGGTAGAAATATTGGTTTTTTCGGGGGGGGGGGGGTTTCCCACCATCTTTAAAAACAAAACAGTATTTTAAAGACAGTGACTAATGAAATGCTGAAGGTAAAAAAGTAAATAAAACAGCATTGGAACAAAATGGAAAAAAGCAAAAATAAACAACACAAAAAGCAAACAAAATATAAATGTATTTGGAATCTTAAGGGCAAATACAAAAATTTTACCATCCCCATTAAGCACTTATATTCACAAATAATTTGTAAAGACATAAATCTTGAGATACCATATTTTTCGGAGTACAAGATGCACCGGAGTATAAGACACATCAAGATTTTGAAAAGGTGAATTTTTTAAAAACTTTTTGGACTCAGCAGACTTCCCAAACCCTCTGCACGCCTCATGGGTGGGGGATAGCAAAAAGATGGCCCATTTTTTGTGAAAATGGGCCTATTTTTTGCAAACAAAAGGGGCATGCATAGCCTTTAGGAGGCTTGTAGAGTGCTCCTGGGGGCTGGGGGGAGCAAAAACAAGCAAAAAAACAGGCCATTTTTCATTTGCTTTTGCCCTCCTCAGCCCCCAGAAGCACTTTGCAGGCTTCCCAAACCCTCTGCACATCCATTTTTATGAAGAGGGCTGGATTTGGGGAGGCCAAAAATGCTGTATTCAGTGTATAAGATGCACCCAGATTTTCACCCACTTTTGGGGGGTGAAAAGGTGCATCTCGTACTCCAAAAATTATGGTAATTCCTATTCCAGCATAATTAAAACACCGCATTGACCAGCTAAGGTTTCAATATAGGCTAACTTGCTGTGTGCAACTATTGGTTTTGATGCCCCACCGCAGGGGTGTCAAACTCGCAGCATCACATTACGTATCATGACTTTCTCCCCCTTCTCTAAACCGGATGTGGCCATGGCCAGCGTGCGACACATCTGGCCCACGTGCCGCGAGTTTGCCTTACAGTGTTTGTAAGCATCACAGTTCTACTAGATCTCCAAACTGCCCATTATGACTTCTGTAGCCCTAATCTATAAGTCTAAGTAGGAGAATTATTGACTTTGTTTGCCAAGTGAAACAAGATTTTTAATAAGATTGCATTTCGGGGTGGTTGACAGCAGTTGTCAACATCACTATCAAAAGATATCCAGGGTACAGCTGCATGTAGTGTATCCGGAGAAGAAAGGTATGTTTGGATGGAAAAAACCCAAGACAGAAACCGAGATTTCTGGGTTTTATTTTTAGATGGAAAGGGTGATGGGAGAAAATGTAGTTGGCATGGGCCTCAAATTAGATTCTAGTTCTGAGGAGAAAATGAGTTTATAATAGGGATTAAATAGAGTCAAATGTTGTCCTTGGTCCATTTTTCTTTTCCAGTCCTACAGCTAATGCAATTGTGTATCTGTTTCTGTCCTGTTTCTTATTTTCCTAGCAGAAATTCACTATTAATACAATACAATATAGAAGTTAATGAATTATTTGGAATATTTTTTATTAAAATGTAACTGAATTTGGCTCATTAATTCTGCTTGCTTCCTTTAGGCCTGACTGCTGGGAAATTAGAATATTTGTTTCAGCCAATCCCTACCTATGATTAATCTTACAGAGGTTCTTTAAGGGAAGGCCAGCATCATACTATTATTTGAATTTAGGGTGCTTCAGTAAACCATATAATTTTCCAACTTCCTGCTTTTGATAAACGGAAGAATATGGGAGGAGTAAGAGGAATACATTCATGCAAGGGCCATTTATATACATTTAATAATATATCCTCATTAGGCTTATGTTTGTGTAAATAATAATGATTTAGTTTAATAAAAATTAAATGCTAACATTTGCAAATTTGGATTAAATTTAGATTTAGTTTTCAACAACCAAGAGGTTGCTTTAAAAGACAAATTTATACATTTAAATCAGGAATGTCAAACTCACAAACTGTGAGCCTGATGCGTCACGTGCTGGCCACGCCCACACTCGGTTTATAAAGGGGGAATGTCATCATATGTCACGTGACACTGCCGTGATGACATGAGCTTGACACCCCTGATTTAAATGAACTGCAGGTAGTCCTTGACTTACAACCACAATTAAGCCCAAAATTTGATGAACAAAGGCAATTGGGGAAGCTGGGTTTGTTTAATGGCCGTGTGACACATTAACAGCTATGATGATTAGTTTAACAACTGCAATGAAAATCAGGTTTGTCAGATGACAACTTATTTGTTGACCACATTGCTTAGCAACTGAAATTCCACTCCCAATTGTGATTGTAAGTTGAAGACTACCTATATTGCATTATAGTTGCTATTTATTTAGAGACATTGGTGCTATTCTGCTTATTGCAACTATAATATATTTAGGGAAGGGGGTAAAATTGTTGAGGCGGTTTAATTTGCTCAGTTTTTCCTTTCTTTTGCCTAGTTTATAGCACTAGGATATTTCAAGGCTTTTACAATTTCAGAAAGGAATCAAAGTGACAGAGACAAAGATTAATGTTGGCAGTCGAATAACTGGCATGTAACTTTTTTGCCATGCTTGCTTTGCAGAGTGACCCAGGCAACTGGTCAGTCCTGGAGCACCTGGGTCTGGACCAGAACTCAGATTTTTCAGACACCAGCGTGCAACAGAAACTGGATGAAGAGAAAGAGAAAATTAAACGTGAGATCCGCAAAGAACTGAAAATAAAGGAGGGAGCAGAAAATTTACGCAAGGCTACTACAGACCGTAAGAATCTCTCCAATGTGGAAAACTTGCTCAAGAACTCCAACCGCAAACTGGAGACGTTGCATCACCACCTTCAGGACCTCAATGCACATATTGTCGTCAAGGACCCTGAAGAGCTGGGGGGTGAGTGTGCTAAATTTTGGGGGTGGAAAAACATGGATTAGATATTACAGGGTGCAGAGAGAAGCAGTGATATGGAAAAGGAACTAAAAGAAAATCGCACAAATTCTTGTCAGCTCTCAGTAGAATAGGCACAATAAATTTCCCTAGAAGAGGTTTATGGCAATAGAAAAGCATTCTTAATTTGAGTTTTGGTGGTTTCTTTGGTTAGGAAAGAAACAACCAGCAGCTACACCTTTTTGAAAACTCTTCCGGCTGATAGGGAAATTAGGCAATACCCTGGTAATGTTTGTGTTTGTCTCTGATATAACGGCTGGCATTTCAAAGGAAGCAATTACTTTGTCAAAAACTGTGTATTACTTATTTAATGGGATCTGATAGTATATCCAGATATTCTCCAGGGATTTTGTAGTACATTTTGTGTGTGTGTCTTATACGATATGTGTGAGAGCCAGTTTAGTCTAGCCGTTAAGCTAGAATGAGACTGTGACTTCTAGGCCTGCATAAAAGTTGGCTGGATGATTTTGGCCCAGTTCTCTCTCTCAACCCACAATGTCAGACTCAGGCAACAAAGCTGGTCAGTAAATTCTTGTTGCAACTAAATGTTGGTCCCGCTATCCAAGAAGTAGACCCTTCACTTGTGAGGAAAAACTAGGAAAAATGGTAGTACCTGTGTGTGCATGAGTATATGGAGCTTGGGAATTTATCTTATCTCTGTGGACTTTCCAACATTGAAAGTAAAGGCACTTACTTGAAACCAAATACTTTGAGATTGATAAGAGTGCAGCTCTGATTTGTAAAACATGTCTCATATATAATAAATTCTTCCTGTGTGAGTAATAATTCATTTGAATTATTGTTCAAGTTCTTTAACAAATTGAATTTAGTTACAGATAAGTTGATGTGTCCAGCCTATTGTTTATTTATTGGTGTATTCATTCATTTTAGCTTATTTATTAGATTTATATCCTGCGTTTACTTCAAGAGCAACAAGTGATGTATGGAGCATTCCCTTTTCCGGTTTTTCCCCACAGAAGCAACCTCCCTTTGACATAGGATGGACCAGTGTTTCTTAATCTTTGCAGTTTTAAGATGTGTGGATTTTTCAACACACATCTTCCCCAAAGAGTCCTCTTGAGCTTTCATGGCTTGGAACTTGAGGTCCAGCATTTTTGACAATTCAGATAATCAAAACAGCTAGCAGAAANGCTGAGCCTGAGGGAGAGGTCAAGCGTGTCACCAGTCTTGAGTCCCTTTGGGTCCGTAAGAGATCTAAGTCCAGCACATCTTGAATTCCATTGATTCTTTTCTATCACCAATTTGCCTTGACCAATAGCAGTTCAGATTCTTGTAGAGAGTGCTAGCATGCCGTAAATGTGTATTAATTTTAACTGCCTTGATTCGTGATTTCCTATGCTTGATGTAAAACCTTTGTTGGGCATATGTAAAAAATAGGTGAGCTTTCTGCCAAAAAGAAGTTCTACATCACCCAGAGAGTGCTATCTATCACTTTGTGCCTGGATACAGCCTTCATAACCAAGATAAATTCAGTTTATTTACAAGGATGAGGAAGTGATTCATTCTACTTTCTGCCACCATCTCAGAACAAAACTAGAGAACAACTGGTACAAACCAGGTAGCAACCAAGACTGTACCTGAGTAAGGAAAGTGGATTTCAGAACCTCAGACAGCCCCTCCAGATTTTCTTTCAACAGTGTCATCAGGCTGCTAAGTTTTATTGAATGTGATCTTCATATGAATGAAGGTTTCAAATTAGACTACAAGACTCAGAATAAACTCTCCTCATTGAGAATTCTGACCTTCTCCTCTAGGAATGCAACTATCTTCATCACCTTTGACATTTACAGAGGCATTTCTAGTGTTGCCCCCAGTCTGAAGGTTCTCTCTAAAGACGGTTATAGCACATTGCATTATTGTATGGAATGTCTTCCCACAGATGCTAGAAAATACTACATGGGAATTAACCATGAAAGTTCTCTTTTCACAAAGAAGATGGTGTATCCAACCCACAAAGGTATTACTGTAGTACAAAATAGGGAGAAATACATATTGGGGGAGCATCAACCAGTGTCCACTATATAGTTTAACCATGTCTCCTTTATTCCTAATTTTTCTCAAGTGTTATTTTGTGGGCTTTCTTTCTGGTCTGTCATTCTGAAACTGCAAAAAGGAGCTACAGTATCTCCTCCCACAGGAAGCGGCATCAGAACTCTTTCTAGGCTAACATTGTCTTGGGAGTGATAAGGAGATTCTGTAGAATTTCCTGTATCCTAAGAGAGCTTTCATGGTAAGTCCAATGTATCATTCCAGGCTGTATTTTCTATTATGAAAACTCATTTATATATATTTGGAAATATAGCTTCATGTTCTATTTTTACTCTGAAGAATTCAGTCTCAGATCTTTAAGATAAATCTTGTAGGAAATGTGTGGTAGACATGGAACAGCTTGTTTATTTGACTTCCATTAGATGTATTTGCACCTCACTGTTGACATATGTGACTTTTGAACTTTTCCCATACTTGCGCAGCTTTGCCTTCTGTGTCCAGAATGCAGGGGAAAGTCCAAAAAGTAAATGGAGCTTTGTCCTCTTCCGTATGGAATCATGCTGGTCTTAGTTTTGCTGTCCTAACATTAGCTGAAGAGTTTTCCTCCCTCTTGCTTTGACCTTTGCATTGCAGTGTCTGCTACGCTGTGTTAAGGTCAGCTCTGATTCTGAAGGAAGTGTGGTGAGTCAGCAGCAACTTCATTTCCTGCATTGCATCAGAAGGTTCCAGAGCAAGCACAGAGGATGTTCAGAGCGTGGCTTGGCCTGAGTCCCACTCAGGGCTGAGAGAGAGCCAGCAAGACACACATGTCCCAAACTTCAAGAAACTCAGTCTAAGTCTGCAAGTGTTTAAGCCTGCAAGTGTCATTTCGGTGAGATTCATCTTCACAGCCACACTATCAAATTCCTTTTGTTTTCACATCCTCACTGGACAGTGACCTCCAAGAGGACTTCGCCCACATGATCTATACTTTTGTGTAACTTGCTCTGTAATATGTGCTTTGTTCCTTCGGGCTGCTTGCCTCCTCAGTACAAACAATATTGCATTTTTATGCAAAATGATTTAGTGAATCATAGCCTCTGGGACTGATGTAAATTCACAAACTACATTTTGAACTTATGGAATATTTTCTAATCCTAGACTGATAAAATGGAGAAACATAACCAAACGGTTGCAGATAAATCACACTAAATAAGTTACTTCATGTAAAAAAAATGTAAGAAACCCTTACAGATCATGTGAAAGAAAATTTTTGAAAACCCAACACATTTCTGTGCTGAAGTAATGAACCCTCAGTGATGGCATCTCTGAGAGATAAGATATCCCTACATAATCGCACTTGTTTTATCTGATCAGTGTTAGAAGGGTGTACCTTTCCTAGCAGATTTGTTTTGTTTCTGGTATTCCAATTAAGTATTGATAGATAGATTTTTTGATATATTGATTTTTTTTAACTGATCATTGAGTTGGGGGTGATATAATGCCTTAATTATTATTTATTATTTTAATTATTAGCTTTGTAGCTAGTAGAAAAAGTACTACAATCCTTGTTCTCCTCCTTACCTGCATTCTAATTCATATGGAAGCAAATTATATAAAGATAATATAATTTCAAAAGGTGAGAAAATAACTATTATCTGTTAGTTTGCTCTTCACAGCAGCCTGTAGTATGCGTTGAAATTACTTTGCATCCAAAATAGCCTTAATTTGTTTAGATCAGTCTGCCACCTTTTGCATTCCATTCTGTGATTTACTGCTTGCAAACTCTCTGTCCTCTGTTTTTCTTAGTTTGAAGAAAAATGCTGAGGAATATAAAAACTTTCTCACTATTTTGTCACCTATGTGTAAATTGGGCAACTATACAAATTTGTGGTTTTTTTAAAAAAACAAACCAAGTAGATCTGAAATTTTAATTGGTCCATATGAAAAAGTGACCCTAGCTGTAATTTTGGAATCCTCCTCCCATTTGAAAATTCACTCTCAAATAACAGGAAGGAAAAGTGAATAAATTGAGAGAAAGAGGAAGACTGGTAATATTGTAGTTAGACAGGGTTGAAAAAGAGATGTAAAGAGCAAGATAAGAAATTTAAAGAACAAAAGACAGTATTTGAAATTGGGTATGGATATGATGGAAGCAGTTTGCAAAATTAGAAATATGAAGTGGATGTAGGGAATAGTCATAACATAAANTCCCTATTTTATGTAAGCCGCCCTGAGTCCCCTCAGGGAAAAGGGCGGCCTATAAATATTAATAAAATCAATATAAAAAATCAATCAAAAAAAGCCTTCAATTGTGTTGATCATGAAAAGCTATGAAGAGCCTTCAAGACCTGGGGGTACCAGCACATCTAGTCAAGTTGGTGCAATCATTGTATACAAATCAGGAAGTCACTGTGCAAACACTATATGGAGACACCAATTGGTTTAAGATAGAGAAAGGAATGTGACAAGCTTGCATTCTCTCCCTTCCTTATTCAATCTGTGTGCCAAAATGATAATGAGAAAGCTAGATCATGAAAAATCAAAAATTGGTAAAATTGTTAGAAGAAACATCAACCATATTTGATACGTTGACAGTGCAACTCTCCTGTCAGAAACCAAAGAAGACCTGGAATATCTGATCAAGAAAATCAAAGAAGAAAGTGAGAATTTTGGTCTCTTCCTGAACATCAACATGACCAGCCTCATGACCACTACAATGAAGAGAAACATCAAACTAGTAATTGATGGTGAAGAGTGGAATGTGTGGAAAAATTCACTTTCCTTAGGATCTCAAATAGCTCATAGCGATGACTACAGCACAGAAATAAAATGTCAGATTGTACTGGATCTCACAGCAAGGATGAACATGAGCCGAATATGGAAAAGCAAGGACATCAACCTGGCAACCAAATGTAAATTATTTTGCTCTATTGTGTTCCCGGTAGCTGTGTATGGTTGTGAAAGTTGGACCTTAAAAAGCAAGACTGGAAGACTTGTTTGAGCCGTGGTGCTGGAGAAGTATCCTGTGTATTCCTTGGACATCAAAGGAGACTAGCAATCATGGACACAATCAAAGCTGGCACAAACAGAACATAGAAAAACTCAAAGAAATAGGGTAAGATTGAAAAATGTTGAGAGATCTGGCCCATGGAATTGCCAAGAGTTGGATTCAACTGAAAGGAAACTATCGTCATCAAGAAGCCAAACTGGGAAAAGGATAAACAATTTGTCAAACTTTGTCCTAGGAATTTGTTCATGTTATTGGATATCAGTGAACTGGAACTTGATGTACCAATATAAAACTAGTTTTGTTTACCAGTATTAGATGATTAAAATCATTATTGATACATAACATTTTAAGCTGGCATGCCAGTATGGTATAGTTTCCAAAGCTGCAGAAGCAAATAATTGTCCTTTTAGCTGTATTACTTAAAGGACTCAGTGGCACACTCTTTTTTTCCTTCAATGAGTGTCTTTGTAAATATGACAAAAACAGCTTCTGGTTGTGAATAATTTTTGAAGAATCTTTCATCATACAACTATTTCAAGATATGTGAACAAAGCATCTGGGCCAGAATACTATATACATTGAAACAATTCAGTCAAAGAATTTCTTGAGGCTATTTCTTTATATGTGTAGCAATATACAGTATGTTTCCAAATTCATCCAGAAGCTACCACAAAGGGCATAGGTATCATTTCTTTAGCGTCAGCTTACAAGGAATTAATTTATAGCAGTAGTGGCCATATGACTTTGTGACTTCTCTAAACTTTTCAGATTATGCTATCAAATTTAATGGCAAAATATGAAAATTCAGAATGAAATTAGAAAAAAAGGGCCCTATCTCCACAGGGCCTAAAATGCTTACTGCGTAAGAAACTTCACAGGATCCCCCCAAATTCATTGGGAATATTATATCAGAATATCAAACCAAAGAAAGAATATAAGATTTTTCTCCCATATTTCCATGGTTCGATATTCTGATATGAGTTGTGCTGTCAAGGTTCCAGGAGTAGCTGCTTTAGCTGGTCAACTTTCCTGGATTGTGCAGCTTATTCTTCCAAGTAACTGGAAAGCTACAGGCAGGTGGTGAGGTATGACATTTTTCGGAAATGCAGAAGCGTTTTTTTAATACTGCAAATACTTTCCAGAATCAAATTCGGTTGCAAAAATGTCAAATATCACTGGTGTGATTTGGGTCCTGGGAGAGTGCAGTTTAAGGGTGGAAATGTCATTCCCACTCCAACCTTTATTTTAAGCGGGGATGGCATTATCAAACATGGGCTAAAATTTGTTAATATGCTGTCATTATGCTGGGGACCTTATGCAGCCCATGAACTACCGTATTTTTACGACCANAAAAAATTTGCCTCTTCAAAATCTTGGTGCATCTTATACTCCAGTGTGTCTTATACGCCGAAAATACGGTAATTTACTACTATAATTTTTAACTGTGGAAATCTCTGATCAGCCAGCAGAATTGTTCTGGTTTCCCTCCCTAGCCAAAGATAATCCCTCTGGGTGATGAAGAGTTTTTTGACCAAACTGAGGTAGAAATGGATTTAGAAAATAATATGGAGTTGGTGGCCAACCATTTGCTCACCATTTGCTTATATTGTGTAAGAAAGATATGTAAACAAATGGCCTAGAATTGCCTACTTGTAAGCCTAATTTTTTTTCAGAAGTGTTATTAGTGCTGCAATTGTTCTGTCACTCAAGGAGGCATCATAAATTCCTACAATTAGCTGTCTCTTCTTTCCTTATCATCTGTTAAGAAGCCAAATTAATTAATTAATAATTAAATAAATTAGCTGAATGCAGCTTTCCAGAGGGCAGCAAGGAAGGATAATGAAGTTTGCTGGGATAATCAATACAGCCAGTTTGAAGCAACCTACAAGAAGAGTCACACCAGGAATGCATTTATGCAAATCAGAAAGATCTGAACACCATTTATTGCTTGTAAAGGTATCATTAAAAACAAGGCAAATAATTGTCTAACAAGGCACCAAGAACAGATGGAAAGAATATACAGAAGAGTTGTACGCAGATAGCAAAGGAGCCCAGCCTCAGGATGATGAAAAAAGAGAAGTAGAAATAGAACCAACCATCCTTGAGAAAGAGATCATATGGGCAATGCACCAACTGCCAAACAACAAGTCTCCAGATGTTGACACTGTCCCTGCAGAATTACTGGGACCTGAACCACCCAAAGCCATTAAAAACCTGTGCCAGAAAATCTGGGAAGCTAACACATGAACCGCAGGATTGGAAACATTCTGTGTTCATTCCACTGTCAGATAAGGGAGACTTTAAAGATTGCTCCAATTATTGCACAATTGCTCTCATCCCTCTTATTAGTTAGGTTCTGCTTAAAATTATACAACAATATCTACTACCAACCATCAAAAGGGAAATATCAAATGTCCAAGCTAGCTTCCAAAGGAGTCATGGCACCTATGATCATATTGCAAATCTGCACTGGATCATGGAAGAAATCTAATGAATATGAAAGGATAATTTAGATGTGCTTCATTGACTACGCCGCACGAGTGATTGTGGGTGCACCTCGGTTCGCCCACATAACACCTATCCTCCGCGAGCTGCGCTGGCTACCTGTTGATCTCCGGGTGCGCTT